AACCAATGAAAACACACCTAATTCGCATTATTTCCAAAGTTTGCTTAAAATTCGCATGACGATTGGTTGGAATCACAGTAACTGAAAGCAGGAATATCTTGACTGACTTTGCTGTCCAACTTAAATTTTTATTAGCAGAAAACAAATAGGAAGAACTATTTTGGATTATCTAACTACTTAAGTTATTTAAGTTACCAACACATTTACACTGTGGATAAAAATGTTTGCTTCTGCAAATCAATCACGATCAACAACATTTTGCTTTTTTGACAAAAAATGTCAGTGAAGAAAGATTTCTGCAAAATGATTAAGTCAAAATGTTTCACATAGAAGAAGTGATTGCATAATTATTCATAATTATTCACCCCTGTTTCTAATTTTTTTTGTCATTTGTAGAAATGTTTTGACTTTGAAACTACTGACATTTGCTGTTTTTTAGAAGCCAGATTTTGTTGATCGATCGATCGATCAATCAAGCAATCAATCAGATTTTACTTGTATAGCACCTTTCAGCAGCAAGGCATTTCAAGGTGCTTTACATAAGTCATAGAACACACTATGATTGGTTTATAAGAGCAGCAAAAGAGTCAAACATCCACAGAGTTTGTACTTTGTATAGACACTGTAGCTTTATGTTTTAAATGTATCACTTTTGGCCACATGAGACTAATGAAAGTGTACTGCAGCATTTATTTATTTTTGTTTTGTTTTGTTTTGCATATAAACTTTTTAAAGATAATTGAATCAATTGTATTTTATCCAATCATGCTTCTTTGGAAACACTCTAAGTGTTTTCTTGTAACTTTTGTACTAAAATTTGGAATTGCCAACTCCTAGAACTTCATGGAAGCTCTGACCTGAGATCCACTGTATGTCCTTAATGATTTGTTATAGCTGGAGAAATGAAAGGGATTTTTTTTTTTGGTCAAATTTTTATATCATAAAAATATCTGTAAATATGTTGCAATGTTTACGTGCCCGAACTCTTATTGACTGCTACAGCTGATATGAGTTGACCTGAGTAAGTCCCGCCGGTCCTCCAGCTTGCACCTGGAACACAGTGAAGTTAGATTTGGTGATTTAATTTCTGACTTAAGAGGTAAATTGGATGTGCCACATTTCATTTTGACCTTGGACATTTTTATGGAAATTAACATTTTAAAGGGTCTGAAGAATTAACTAGAAACCGTCGAGATTCTACTGAGTAGGTATAACCAATCTGAATCATTTTCTTGGCTGCAGGCTCACTGTGTGTGTAAATACTTGGAGATTTAGAGATATTCCACTGCTAACACATTTTACACTCAAGATAAGAACGATTTTTCAAACTTGAGAGGTCAAAGGGTGATTCACCCTTGAGCAAAAATGCTCAACAAACACATTACTGTGGTCATAATGCCAAAACAGAGGCATTAAACTCAATACTTTGGACATGACTTTGAAAACAACAAACCTTATCAATTAAAGGTTTGCATATCAGCTCTCCTGGGAGCAGCAATCAGCAGATTAGGCTTTTTCTTGAAACTGTAAATGTGGAAATTATCCACCACTCTCAGCACCGTTGGGACTCATCAATGAGGAATTTAAAGATGTAGACCAGCAGCTTCTTGCCATCGACAACTTGTCTCTATTTGTTGATATTTTTTGGGAGTGGACAAGAATTTTTAACCCATAGTAGTTCAGAATTACTTCCTTCCTATTATTGAGCTTTGCCACATATGTAGTGGCTTGAAGAAGTATTTAATATTGGACAAAGACAACCTGAGTGAATGAAAAATGTTTTCATATGATGAAAAATGTATCCAAACCAGCCTGGTTCTACAGTTTGTTAAATTTCACCCACCATATTGACTCATGACTTTGAAATTTAACACATTTTTTATTATTCTAGCTACACCCAGGTCTGACGACTATGGAGCCCCTACGGTAACATGGGTAGAATTTATTGTTTCTTATACATCAGGTTATTTCTTGCAGTGTTGCCAACTTGGTAAATTTGTCGGAACATTTGGCGACTTTTAGGAACTTTTTTTCTAAAGTGACTTACAACTTTCTTCTCTTATTGGAGTTCAGCCAAACCATTAACATTTCTAGATAATTTATTTTATAAAGTTTATTTATATATAAACATATTTTGAGCACTCCTAATAATTTTTTCTTTTGCCCAAGATGATATTCCGTTCTTGCGCTGCCTGGATCGCACACAGTCACATATGCAAATTAGGCAATGACATCATCTAGCAACTTCTAGGACAGCAAATAGCTACTTTGCTTGGCATCAGTGCTTTCTTGTGTGCAGTGGATACTCCAGGTCACCATACAAGCAATTTAAACTCAGCCTATAGAGGAGAAGAATAAATAACTTCCTGAAAATAATTTGTGTGACAGTGTCATCCAAAAATTTGAGAAAAATGAGGTAAATTATATCTCTCATCTAAGAGGAAAGAAACTCGGTTAAAGCTGTCAATGAACAAAAATCGTACTTTCGCTGTACAATTTACTGCAGTTGATGGAACCATGAACTCTTATCTCTACTGCTGAATCTTGGAGGAGAATTTCTGGCCTTCAGTTTATGAGCTTCATCTCAGCCACACTTGGTCTGAGGATCTGAGGTAAACTAGAAACCGTTTCTCTGAATGAAGGAGAACGTTTATGGAGAGCCCTCGCCATCGCCCTCACCAAATTCAACCTCCATGCCCTTCAGTGTGGATGAATCAAAAGCATTCTGCAAAGAACAGCAGGTCAAAATTCCTCAACTGCGATGTGACTAAATGTACTTAGTTTGGGAAACAAAATACTTTTTTATGTGTTTTAACCTTTCATCTACACAAAAAAACTCTGTTTAATATCACTAAAAATTATCATTTATGAAAAGTCCAACCAAAGGTGAGACTTGACATAACTCTGTATTTATGTTTGCATGTGTTCATGGCAAAATGGAGATGTAGGATCCGTTCTATATATTGGCAACAAATAATGTGCCATTATCTCCACGTACCTTCTTTGACACAAGTCCCAATCAACACCATCTTGTGTTTTATTAACCTTGTATTCTAATACGCCATCTAGAAGCAGTTCAATCCGTATGTCTGTCCACACAAATGATGTGCCATGTTTAGTTCCTAACAGGACGTCGTGGTGGTTTTGAAGCATTCTGATTGGCTGATAGATTTCAGCTTTGCGATACAGCAGAGGTTGACTTGCATGTATGAGAGTACACACAAGGAGCCACACAGAATACAAACATGGGGGGGAAAAGATGACAGACCATCATTAATTTGAGCTCATTTGGAGTTTCTCAGTATGCAGGATGTTGTAAGGCATTTGCGTTAATGAGCTACATCATTCATGTGAAATGATGGCACAATTAGGAAAACAAAAGTGCAAGGTGTGACAATTTAAGCGAATGTGCTTCGTCAGTGTCTTCAAACAACACCTCAGAGACGGCAAAGGCATAAAAGCTGGCTGGCGTGAACGTCAAAGGCTCCAGGGGTCGGGATTTTCGCCGACGGATCCCCGCCTTGCTACTCTGCACCCCGGCTACGCTCCCACAGGAATCCCCCGCCGAAACACCGGCAGGGGGATGAAATTAAAGCTGCTGAATTCAGATATTTTGATTTATGCCCATGAGCATGTTCACGTCTTTTGAGAGGCACGTACGTTAACGAAACACCATCTGAAAGGTGAGAGCTGGCTGCCGAACCCCAGGAACACCCAGCTCTGTCTTTTCCCCCCTCTCTAAAAATCACTCACATCACGGATCAGGGGGTTTATATGAAAGGAGGCTCGTAGCAGAGCAAGAGCTATATGTATTTAGTTGAATAAAATCAAACTTCTTTGCTTTTGTATCTGCTTTCTTCTCATGTTTCCTTCCATTTCCCTGTTTCTCTTTTCTTTTTCTTTTTTTCCTCCTGCAGCTTTAACTTTTTTAACCCAGCCCAGCTCAGGCTTTCTCCTCCTCGTCTTACACAGCTCTGTCAGCCTCATTAGTTATACCAGGCTGTGCAGCGAGTGGGATCTAACCACTCAGCTTAGCATGTAATGCAGCTTTAGTGAACTAATGAAACCGTAATTACAAAAATAATGAGGAGCACGCAGCACCGTCCACTGACTTTCGGACTGTTTATTTGAGCGAAGGAACAAGGAATGAATCCTCTTCATTTTTTTTTTACGGACTTCTGATTCTTGTCCTGTCATACTGTATATATAACCAGGCCACAAACGGGCCTCTCTGTTCTGTGAATTTCAGACTTCAGGGAGCATTTTACCTGGTATTGCGTTCTTGTATGATGCATTGTTGATGTATAACGAGGAACTATGTAGGCTACGGTCCATTTCCTGCGCTACTTATAAACTTATTGTCCCCAGCGGGCCTCATTTAGCTAAGCGTAGGCAATGTTGGGCCACGTTTAGTATCTGGGCAACACTTCGTTCAGCGAAGCGCAGCAGAAACAACAACATATTACAGTCATGTCGGAAACTTTACCTGGATATGCACAAAAGTTGAAAGACATCCATACTCCACTAATGACTACATTCCCACGTTAATTTCCCTGTTGCGAACTTCAATATGAGCCCAATAATGGGTTTTATTTCAAAGACAACCACAAAGGGTAAATAATATTGAAGTAAAAAGTAAAGGATACATTTAAAAAAAAAAGAATTATGAAGAAAAATTGGAGAAATGTGTGTTTGTGTTTAGCCCCCCTGCTTGAATAACATCTTCTGTTGAAATTACATCTGTAAGTCTTTTGGGATATACAGTAAGTCTACCAGCTTTTGTTGGCTCTTCTTTGCAAAAAAAATAAAAATAAAATAGTCTAGCTGATTCAGGATCAGATGGAGAACATGTGTGAATGTTCTTTTTCAAGTTTTGATGCAGATTTCCAAGTCAAAGACATGAATATCATTGTAGCTCTGGCACATACTGAACGGTGAACCTGATTTATTTCTCCAGTCGTCTTCCTGACATGACCTCTTATCTGTCCTTTTAATTGCAGCTACACACAGACTTGGATGTGGGCAACAAGAACATCAAATATGTCCTGGCAGGCGAGGGGGCAGGCACCATCTTTGCCATCAACGAGTTAACAGGTGATATCCACGCCATGAAGAGGCTGGACCGCGAGGAGAAAGCGGAGTACACGCTAACAGCCCAGGTCATTAACGCCGACACAGACGAGCCTTTGGAGCCACCGTCCGAGTTCATCATCAAAGTCCAGGACATAAACGACAATCCGCCACAGTTCATCGAAGGACCGTATCGCGCGTCTGTTCCCGAAATGTCTGCTGTTGGTAAGTCACAGTTGACAGACCTAATTTCCAACCTCTTGCCTTGTATGGCAGCCCTAATCAGTGCGTGAGATTTCTAAGACTGCCAATCTCTAATGGGCTATCTCACAGAAATAATGAGAGAATCAGAACAAGAGGGAAGAAGTGTGCCTATTTACATGCGTGTCTGTGATGAGCATTTTTAGCAAGGGAAAGCACAAGAATGATGAATCGAGTCAAATCTCTGAGACTTCAACCCACAGCTCAGTGCTGGGACCTCGCAACTGGGGTCAAGATCAAACCCAGTTCAAAGTTGGTCCTCTGTAAACAGCTTATCTACAAAGACATGCAAATATGCAAAACATGGCCAAAATGTTGGCACTACGGCGGTTGTGCTGAGACGCTTTCCACTGTGAGTATCCATGCAGGTTAAGGTAGAGTTAGTGTTTGAACCATTAAAATAAGCAATTTTAATTGTGTTTAGAAGGCATCTCTGACATTTAAAGATTCCAGCTGTTTGTGGGCGGTTGCCATCAATAACTTCCACAAAGACCAAGTGTCTCCTGTAATTACAATCCATGCTTTTCTAGCAGTGGTTAACTTTATACAGTGCCTTGCAAAAGTACTTTGAAATGTTTCACATTTTAACATATTGGTGGTTGTTATGCGTTACAATTGTGCTGTGCATATTTATTCAGCCCCCTTTATTCTAAGTTCATCTTCACACTCCTCAGTTATTTGTAGAACGATTTGAAGTACCACCAGTGTTACTTGTACTGTTTACGAACTATGACCTACCAGAACACCACTATGCTAACTGTTAATGTAGCGATAAAGACATAGCACATCACCAGTTAAATAGGAACTCTACAAATTTGGGATATAGATTCACACCTATTGTCTCAGACCCAGTACACACCTAGCCAGATATCTGGAAAAATAAATACACTTGCGCTTTGGACTTTTAGTGCGTGCATTTTTCCTTAAGGTGATATGATGAAGCTGCTATTGGCAGTGGTACAAAGACTGGTTTTTATGTCTGGACCGCACAGAGGTAGAACTGTCTGTACTCAACAACAAAATAGCCTGAATCATAGTTTGTGCAGCTGTAGGAGGCCTTCTAATGGAAAAGCAACCTAAATGACGGTATAGCTATAGAGTACCATTACACAACTGCCACATAAACCTGTAGATATGTCCCTTTAGCTTCCACCACTGTATCACCTGCTAATGAATTCCTGCATTTACATGACCACTGTAGGATGATAATGTGTTGCTCATACAGGCGAGGAAGAACTCCCGTCATTGGATCATTTTGCTCTTTAGTTTTGCTTCAGTGTTACCTCACCACTGACCCCACAGGGGCAATGGGTCTTGTAGAAAAATGTTTCCATCAGCAGGAAAAAGGCGATCAGTGCATGTCTTGATGCAGTTTTGACATTGGAGGAGCTCGGCGAGAGAACTGAGGTCTGTTGCCTGGCGTTATGCGCTTGTTATTGTGTTTCTTCATTGAGCTGCCTCTTGTAACCTGTCATGGAGGTGACATAACATGCTAGGGCAGATGGTTTTAGGTATGTAATGGAATCTGTTTGGGTAAATCCCATCTGTACGATGCAGCCTTTTGCATGAGTTCTACGAGACGGCGGTGATTTAGCTCCGGTTTACTCCTGACACCTTTGGCTGATTCTTATTAGCCGCCGCTGTGCTTGGAAGCAAAAAGGAACAAAAGATGCTGTAAAAGTATCCATGTAAACACAGAGAAACAGTGAACTCTTTTTGTCTGAACTCTGCTACGTGATCCCCACTGCTCTAGGCTTTTGGATCTCGGGTTGAGCAGAACTCGGGCTCTCTGAGGGGTTTTGGCACTACAGAGCAGAGACAACCGTGAAGACAGGCTAGAGTGCAAAGTGGCAGTTGACAGCACTCTGTGATTTGCCGGTGGGAATAATGCATAAGAAATGGAAATCGGCATCTCTTTGTTGACTGTTGTTCCCTTTTGTCACTACTGATTAATTAAACATTCACGGATGCTCAGTTGTTTGCTTGAAAGCCTTTTTTCACCCCCCTCCTTTCAGCTTCGGGTTTTCTTCTGGTTAAGTTTTCATGTGCTGCGGCATTATGGGAAGACGCTCCGGACAAACAAACAAAAAAAGTCATTCATCTCTCCCGACTCGTATTCATAACCCACCAGCTTTCCTTCCAGCAGCATTTCCTCTTCATCACCGTCCAATTGAGAATGCACATTGGACTCTGCGGACTACTGGAAGTGTGTCGACCCATGTTGGGGACTAATAAAGTCCACGAGAAGCGGAGCCGGGATAAACAGACTCTAGTGAAGTCTGCCGCACGCAAGTTAAAAACCTCAGACAGAAAGCAGGGAGTATTCAAGTGTAATTACAGCATGTGGGAGAAGATGTTGGGTTGGCGTTGAGAGGGACGATGTGCCCCACCTGCGTCGAACTATCAAAAAATCTAATCCGAGGCCATAACGGCCCGCTTCTCCTGACGATGTTATCCACTTACAGAGCTTGTCAGCTCCACTCCAGACTTCATCAGTGTCTTTGGCCATACAGCGCTTATCAAGAGTGTATCCGCACGGTATCAGCAAGACCGAGACAAATATCAACGCCCACCTTTATCTGTCAAGGACTACAGCTAGATAGAACCTCCCTCCCACCCCCTAACCCACCCTCGTATTGAATGTCAGCATCCACCAAAGGAAGCGTTTCCCCCACAGCCGGATGAGATATGTGACATGGGCCGCTGAGGTTGCTGTGTTTCCTGTGCGCTGAGGAGCACAGAGGTTAATGGGAAATGAAGGAGAAAGACCTTTTGTTCTTCCTTTAAAAGAGCTAGTCGGATAAGACGTGTGGCTTTCTGTGACTTTTCCCTGACTTTCATCCCCCTGAATGGCGAAGAATGGAGGTGACTATCACTGTGTAGCACATCGTCCGTCTAAGTACAGTGCAACAAAGACGGGGGAGCAGAAGGGAGGAGTAAAGGCCATCGCTTCGCTTGAGGGGAAATGGTTTGCCGGAATAAAATTAGATGTCATTAGCGTAAGCGGCCTGGGTATATCTGCTATCAGTTGGTGTTCTGTGATAGGATCTCTTATGAGTTAATAATGTTAAAGGGTGAAATGGATCCAAAGAAAAAGAAAATTACTTTTTAGTTACGGAGAATATTACCAAATATTTTCTGGTAATCCTCGTTTACTAGACCCGGTTGATATTCCACTTATTGGTTTATTTCTGGCGCATTACTCTACCACTGGAGAAATGCATGAAGATTAATGACCCAGTAGAATAAAGCTGTGTCAAAATTAAAAATCCAAAACTTTCCAGCAGCCAAATTAGCTCAGGAATCTGGCAAAAAGTTAACTTAATTGGGGTAACTCTAATTAGTTTATCCTGAAAATGATTGAGGGTTTTCCATAAACGAGGTCTCAGGAAGGCTTGTGGGGCTGCCATTAACCTTGATCTATTGAGCTGCGTTCTGGAAGATTGTTTTGTCAGTTTTTTTGTCCAAAAATAGGGAATGCACCTTTGACACACTCCCTGAAACTTAAAAAGCAATGACTATCCATTTCAACCTTTATCTAATTTTACGTTTTGGTTTTGGTGAAAGATTTAGAAGTATTGGCGAGAAAAACTGAGATTTAAAAAAGTTTGAGTTTGTTCTCTTCGCTGGAGCCCTTATTGCAGGTTTATTATGTCCTAAATATTGACATAAAACGTCAAATTCAAGCTAAAAAGAACTAATGGGGAGAAAATTGTAAAACAAAAAGTGTTAAAAGTATGCGTAAGAGTCTTAATCCCAATCACACATTAGCCTTCTAGACTTCCTTCTTGTTGACCAACTACTCAAAGGTTTTGATGTTATTGAGGTTATGATGTTTTTTTTGTTGTAATATTAACCCTTAGATATTGTATGTATGTTTCCTGATATAGAGAGGATACAGGACTACTTCATAGTCACTTCAAAACGCAAGTGTGAATATAAGCATCTACTTGAAGAATTCTTAAGTCGACAGCCAAAACTTCATCTCAAAAGTCGAATCTTATTCAACTGGAAGCTTACAAAACAGCCAAGTAAATTTACGTTTTAGAATTTAAACATAAAAACTGATGTAAGGGAAGCTGAAGAGCTGGTTAGCTTTGCTATTAGGGTCTTAGCGGAAGTGAACTCACCACTGTTTATTACAATAAAAAAAAAGGTTACATTTTACCGTGAGATTTTTCCATAAATACAGACACCTCTGTATTTTATTTCAAGATCATCGTGCAATAAGAATCTCATACTGAACCAGGTGTTTTTCACAGAGACTCTACTACAAACACTCAGAAAAAAATTTGTTCTACAATATTTATTTACTTGCTTTTTAATTAGAAGTCTAACCGTGTTTGGAGTGTTTCTTTAGGTTTCCTAGTTCACTGTATAAACTCTACCAAAAGCAAGTGTGCTATATTCACATCTTAGTGATTTTGATGCATTGGCCTGTACAGTATATTGCTCCACACTGTAAATGAGGGACTTGTATTAATTCAGTGAGAAGGCTTTATCAATGATAAGCCCACGTCCCACATGCTAATTTAACCTTTCATTTGGAATAAAAATATTAATTAGCAGAGCTTTAATCACTTACAGAAAATCTTCCAATGCTGTCAAGCTCTTTTATTTATTTATTTTTTGTTGCTCCGTGCGTTTTAGACATCCAAGGTTCAGGTAATTTTCTCTGCTTCTAATCTTAAGGGAAAAAAAAAAAAAAAAAAAACGCTGTTTATTTCCTCCCAGCTGATTAGTACTTGATACCTCTGCGTGCTTAGCCAACGTTGTTAGCTGTGTGAATGTATTCATTTTGTATTTATGCCTCAGTGTCACTGCAGTTAAAGCAAGTTTATTGCTTACGGCTGCAAGCCCGCCCGTGATATTAATGTGTTTTCTTTGGCACTGATTGCACAGATCTCACAGGATTAGTGGATCCTGTTTTCCCCGTTAATGGGGTCTTCGACTTTAAGGCCAGT